AATACAGACTGGAATGACTGCCGCATAACTCAAGGCTTAATGATGTGCACCCTTGGAAGATACGGAAGTTCTTAGAGGCGATACCTTTTGTTGGGGTTCAAGTTTCCTGAAAGTGTTTTGAAATTTTACAGAGCAGAGATTAGAACTGTCGCTTTTTGAGTGCAGACTGGAAAAGGGATCAAAACTAAGGTTCGACTCTTGGGTAATTTTTTTTTCTTTTTGATTATGGAAGAATTCATTTCGTGGAAAGTTTACAATCTTTTGCTGCTTATATGGAAATTTATTTAGATTCCCCCCAGTAAGTTGGTAAATGCTGTGACATTCTGTGGACCAGGGTTAAGATGGACATTAAACCTGCCTGTCCTCACCAGCATCGCCCACCCCTATGGAGGCTGATGTTGAGCAACCTCATACCGAATGTGACGTAAAGGCCAGCAGCAAATTGAGGGGTGGCCTTCCATGGAATAGAGGAGGAAGAACTAGGAAATTCAGCAGATAAGCAGATGGCACAGGCGGTTTTTATATAGTAGATATGTGAACCTAAGTAACCCCTGTATTTTATTATTTTCTATATTTTTCTGTAAGATGGGGGCACACCCAATTTTAAGGCATACTGCCAGATTACCTTCCAAAAAAGGCTGTATCCATTCGTACTCCCTCAAGCATTCCCATATCCTTACAAACACAGGTAATTATTATTTTTAAAAGTTTTGCAATTCAGTAGGTGAAAAATGACATCTTATCTTAATTTTGAGAGGATATTTTTCATAAGTCTGGTTCATTTACGGAAACAGTTTCTAAGTGTCTGTGTTTTTCTAACATGAAAACAAAAATGTGGAAAGTGGGAAGAACCATTCCCACTCCTACAAGCAAATGACATGTTTAAATACTTCATGCACACAAATGGATTATAGCCCAGCACAGACAACTGTGGCCAAATGTCTCCACCCCAGAAATTGTGTTTGCTAGACTCCGAGCAAGGGAATTGAGCGTCTTTACCTTGTGCTGTGCACAGCACCACTGCTGCCATGCCCCAAATCAGGCTGTAGGTAGACAGATGACAGAAAGGCCTCCTGAACACCTGAAGATAGAAAGCAAAGTACAGAAATGGGGTTTGGATTTGGACAAAGCCAAGGAAGCTTCAATCTAATCACTATTTCAGGGAAATGTCAGAGTTAAGTTTTTATCTACCAGAGATCTTCGGTTTTGCGGAGAGGGAACCAGAGGCTATAACTGCAAGAAATAACAGAGTGTGCTCAAGATATGGGGAGGAAAAGGCAGCAGTGTGGCTTCTTCAAAACAGCAAGCCCTAGCAATTTGGGGCCTTGCTTCTAAAGTCACCACTGTCAAGAGCAAGATCTCAAAGACATTGGATCACTGGGGAAAACAAACTGCCTTAAGTAAACATAGAAAATGCAGAGGATACAAATGTTTGACAGCATCCACTTCCCAAATAATCCACACCTTAGTACTAAAAATGTTACTCAGAAGCTAACCACTTTTCAGAAACATGTGACTGCCTTGAATTTCGTTGAGGCAGATTTTCCTGCAGGTGCTGCAAATTGTATGTAAGTTGTACCTTTAAAAACCAGTACTGTCTTTAATTCAATTTTTGTTGTTGTTGCTTTATTTTTATGTGTCTGGCAGAAATCCTTGGCTGCCTTACAAATTATGGTGGTATTTAATGGAATTTTACTCTGGGCATCATCTTGCTTTACAATGAGAAGGCAAGGTATAGACTGTTGAAATTTTCTCTGCAGTAGCCCCATGGATCCATTCACTAGGTCTATACACGTATGTTCTTTCTAAGGCATACAGCAAGAAATGTAACTTTTCCCTATATTTTTTCCATATTTCTGTATTTTTCTATAATAGACGTATGTACAAAATGTTTTCTCTGAATTTTTTTAAATCGAATTTCATTTTTATTTTGTGTTGCCATTCCAACTGGAGGTAGAAACTTAATTCCAATCAA